TTGTCTCAACTGCATCGTCCGATCGTTGGCAAAACTTTGTAGAGAGCTACTGCCACATCGACAAAATTCGTATTCCTCGTTGGGTATACTTTTCTCCTACAGATAAAATAGAACTTCATGGCTTCTGCGATGCCTCAGAAAAGGCATACGCAGCCACTATTTTTCTTCGGGTTCAAAAAGCGGAAAAGGTATTTGTCAATCTTCTACTGGCTAAGTCCAGAGTGGCACCGGTCAAAACTATTTCGTTACCACGATTGGAGCTGTGCGGTGCTGTTCTGCTTGCAGAACTTGTTGAATCGATCGTTAGCAATCTCACTTTAGGCCAGTTTACCACACATCTGTGGACAGATTCGACTATTGTCCTAGCCTGGATTCGAAAACCTCCCTGCTCATGGTCAACATTTGTTGCCCATCGCGTAACAAAAATCATTGAGAAAGTTGGAAGCCAAAATTGGCTCCATGTGGATTCAGCATCAAATCCATCAGATTTAGCTAGCAGGGGTATTATTGCGCAAGAATTGGTAGCCTCTTCCTTGTGGTGGGAGGGTCCTTCTTGGTTGCAAGAAGAAAGAACACAATGGCCCACACAGGAAAAGGACTATAAGACACAGTTAGAACAAAAAAGGGTACAGGTTCATGCGACCACGGCAGTCGATATTAGTAATGATATTCTTGAAAGATTTTCCGATCTACCGAGAGCTTTGAGAGTCCTATCATACGTACTGAGATTCTCCCAAAGAACTCGCCGTAACACTAGAGCTTCATTTCAAGCGGAATCTTGTTCGATTTCAGCTGATGAAATCAAAGCAACGACTCAACGCTTAATAATTATCTGCCAGAAGCAGCATTATGGTCAGGAGTACTCATCACTGAGATCGGCAAAATTAATAAGTCCAAAAGGTGAAATCTTGTCCCTGAACCCATACATTGACAAGGAAAATATAATCAGGACAGGTGGTCGCCTTGGAAAATCTTTAGATCTCGCTTATAACGAGCGCCACCCAATTATCCTTCCATATAATAGCAACTTGTCTCGTCTTATAGTCCAGTTCGTTCACAAAGTATCACTGCATGGTGAGAATCAGCTTATGCTGCGCTTGATTAGAACGCAATATTGGATACCTCGAGTCCAGAATATGATCAAATCGACAATTCACAACTGTAAGATCTGTACGATCTACCGAAAACGGTCGCAAACGCAGCTTATGGGCATTCTTCCTAAAGAACGCACCACATTTTCACGCGCGTTTACTAACACAGGTGTCGACTTCACCGGACCTTTCGACATAAAGAACTACAACGGACGAGGTTGCAGGGTGTCTAAGGGGTACGTATGTCTGTTTGTGTGCTTTGCAACCAAGGCGATCCATTTGGAAGCCACCTCTGATTTAAGCACACAGTCATTCTTGGCAGCATTTGCAAGATTCGTGGGGAGGCGAGGGTGCCCAAAAAATGTCTACTCCGACAACGGTACCAACTTTGTCGGAGCTTCGCGATCGCTAAGATCAGAATTCAAAGCCTTTATGGCCGAAGCCCGCAATAACACCATAACAAAATACACCCATCAAATGCTTACATGGCATTTCATTCCCGCCGCAGCTCCCCACATGGGTGGATTGTGGGAGGCGGGAGTCAAAAGTTTTAAATGCCACTTCACAAAAATCGCTTCAAACTATAAATATACATTCGAAGAATTTACGACCCTTCTATGCAGAGTTGAGTCATGCCTCAACTCGCGACCCCTCAGTCCCTCTTCAAACCAACCCTCAAACTTAGAGCCACTTACTCCAGGTCACTTCTTAGTCGGCGGGCACCTTCTTGCTCCTCCTGAAATCGACGCTGATGAACACCGTGCGTCGATTGTGAATCGTTGGCAAAGACTGAAGGCTCTACACCATACGTTCTGCAAGAGGTGGAAGACAGAATACCTGTCGGAGCTCCAAAAGCGCAATAAGTGGAAATACCCACAAGCCAACTTGAAAAATGGAGACCTCGTCGTTATTAAGGAGGACAACCTACCACCTAACGAGTGGAGATTAGGTAGAATCGTTAACCTACACCCAGGTTCAGATAACCGCGTACGAGTCGTGGAGGTCATGACCGAAAGAGGGCAAGTCACAAGGCCATTAGTAAAACTGGTCTTATTGCCGCCATATAGAGAACAGGATGAGGAACAACCCAGCAACTCTGTCTCATCATCTACGTCGTCGTAAAAACCATCGCGAATCCCCCTTCTCATATACCTATCAGTTCCACTACCAAACCCGCAACAAAAATATGCAGTCTGCTACACACTGCATTGGCCTACATAAATACTTATGTAATACATATAACATCATGTCTTACAAGTCATCAACCAACAAAATACCGCAAAACCGAAACGCATATGCGTGTTTTACAAATATCATGGAGTCGTAAGATTCCTTCGCAGAGATTTGGAACATGAAGTCACAATCAAAATTCGATAACGAAATCAAGAGTCAAACAAATCCCCGACTGTTATCCTTTCTCATTTACCAATTTTTTAAGCTTTAATGTTGAATGATCTTGGGAAACTCTTTGAATACTGTAGTTAATCAGTAAGTGAAATGTTTCAGTATCCGAAATCAAACAAAATTATCGAATTCCGGCTGTAGACTGCATGCGTTCAAGAGACAATTTTGTGAAGTAATCTTCAGCACATAAATGATCATTTACATATGTACTAACATAAAAACGTAGAGCCGAACCTCAAAAGAGATTTGTACAAGGATTGCGCTGTGTTTAATAGGCGTGTTTGGCACGCCTACACACAAGACTTCGCATATGAACCGTTTCGACGGTAGTAGAAAGAATTTTGGAATACCTTAAAGGCAGCTTGATTTTATAGAAAACTAATCGGAACTTTGTTTGCATACAAAAGCATAAAAAAAAAAAAATACGAAAGTTTGCCCCAATCAGGTTACTAAGCAAACGTAAGAAAATTATTGGAGTTCCAATAGTTTATTCCAAACATAAAAATCAGGTTTCTTTAAGGTATTTACTTTAGGTTCAAAAGAGGGTGTGTTGCATTCGCGTAAATTGTATATAGAAAATACCTTCACTTAAGAAGGCCTACCTGACTTATCTTCTGGGATAATTTAATCGCATGATCTTTATTTTCAACAAAAAAAAAAAAAAAAAAAAAAAAATAATCGACCCAGCCTAATGTGCCTATGCAGATCCTTTACACAAATGAGAATGAAAGTCTCTACCAGAACAGGTTATCCAGACTACCATTAACATTTTTGTTTTTCAAATCCTAAACGCAAACGCAAATTATTACGAAGATTTACAATAAACAAACGTAGGAAGAGTTTAGAAACTTTAAATTCTGTTTTTTACTAGGATAGCTACCCTGGTTCTGGTAAAGTATTCCATTCAACAAACTATTCAGTGCTACATAAACATTAAACAAACAAATAAATATTAAGCCCACAATCATATGTGAACTATTAATAAATGGAGTCACTTACCCTAACCCGTTCGACGTTGGTTGACTTGGGGGAGAGAAAATTCACTACCGCGCATTGCTGTTGGAGCGCTGGGGCATGGCGCCGCTTGTAACTGCACTAGCTGTTGCGATTACTTTACGGTGTTTTGGTGTGCCTGATTTCGCAGCAATCGGTATTTCACGGCTGGTGTCTGCCGGGGTTGATTTTGAAGTAGTCACGGGGGCGTTACACTTTGTTGGCTGCTTTGAACTGCGTTGCGGGCTGCCGCCAGTTGTGGTTGTAGTGGTTGCAGTTGACGGTAAAGTCGCTTTCACATCTGACACAACAACTGGAACTTGGCACGTTGCAATCGTCGGTTCGTCCTGCACAAATGTGCCTTGTTGTTCGAGTGAATGTGGCGCTGCCGCCTGTTGCGCTAAACGTAGAATTACTACACCGCGTGTTAATATACTTTCCAGGGCACCAGCCCGCAAATGCCGTCCTCCTAAGTCCAGACGCGTCCAAAGCGACTCATCACTGGCACATCTACCAAAACGTCGACAAACATAGCTGCAGCGTATTAACGCTTTTTTAGGAAGCCATTTAAAATTTGTAAAATAATCTCATCCGAAGATCCACCTAAACAAAAAGACTGCAGATTACATATACTAACAATACAAACGAAAAAAAAAAAACCTGCACCGCCTTTTGTTTAACACCAAGTAAAATTGACGGACGACAGCACATCTTCGGTCGCAGCTAGCTCAGTTGGATGTGCTATTAGGCATATTTATGAATTTAAACTTTTGCGTTATTGCGCGTAGTGAAGAAATATTTTCCGAGGGGCTGTCGTCGGTGGAAGTTAGAAAATACGGTCCGGCCGATTCTTCCGCGATGCGACGAATTCCCCATCCATCCTTCTAATGATATGTTTAATACACAAATGGGTTGTTGTGGTGGTTCACTTATGCCCATTTTTCGTTCGCTCATAAAGCTTATACGACCATAAGGCTCCTCCTGATCTTTGACATGCACAATGAAGGACAGTCGGTTCTCACGGAAAGCATGAAAAAATATTTTCGTCCTTGTCCTGTAACGATTTGAAAGTCTTCATTCGGCTGCGAATCGGTCACACAATCATCTTTTAGTCAGCTACTAAAACAGGTTGAGACAAGAAATATTTAAACAGTCGCAAATTTACATTAACTAAAAATCGAAAGAACTTCATTTGAAACTTATTGCTGTTACAGATTACTAATTTAAGTAAAAATTATTAATTCGTTTTTAGAGAGCGAAAAGCATGAAATTTAAGATTAAACTGCTCGCCTGATTTTAGCACTGGTACCAAATTGCCTGCAAATTCCAAATAAATATCTTGGTCTTCGAGTACTTCAACATCGCGGCTCTTCGCTATCTCAGTGAAATACTCTTGTTGCTCCAATGTTTTATCTGCTTTATCGTCAGTCATACAGAAGACGGAAAGCTTGGCTTCTGTCGTGGAAATTCGTTTGGCAAAAATAACAAATTTCACCATAAATGGAACTCGAGTCATATATGCATATAGTTCGGTGGCTTTTCATCACGGATATTGTGATCCACTTTCATCGAAGTCAGCCGGCGCTGTTTGTTAGCATTACGTTTTGGTTTCGCTTCTTTATTGCGATCTATTTCCATATTTTGTATTGAAATAAGCCCGTCTACCATACCCGCCACAACAGTTTGATCTCCCGGCGCAACTCCAAGACTCAGCACGGCGTTGGGGAAATCAAGCGTGTGCACAGTTTGGTATGTTGCGACATCATAGATCTTGACATGACGATCCAAGCTCCCAGAAAGTATACGCTTGCCATTGGAACCGAGACGTAGACTTGTAATGGTTTTGTGGTGTTGTGATACTTTCGTTAAAAGTCGACATCCAGCGAAAGCATCCCAAACACGCATTTCTGTACCACCTGCGCTGATAAATATACCACCCGTTGGCAGAAACAGCAAAGATTCAACTGGGCTCCCATGATCAATACTGAACGAAACGTTTTGTGTACGTGTGTCATACATCTTAATTTTACCGTCGTAACCACCGGATATTAATGTGTCTGGTGACATGGGATTTACCGCGCCAGCGCGCACATAATCCTCATGCTCTGCAAAAGTAAGCGTAGTTTTCTCAGTCCCAATGTCCCATAATTTAACCGTACGATCATCCGAGAAACTAGCTATATGCAGTAGATCCTGATCACTATCGTATAAAGTATGCTCTCGCCAACTATCTCCATTGTCGGAGCGCAAAATTATGATTTCACGTTCCTTATCACGCAAAGAACCGAAATGCGGCACCTCTAACACAACTGGACCTAAAAATTTGGCCTCCACTGGAGATAATTCCATTATCCGGCTAACCAAAGCGATGCGACGAATTCCCCATCCATCCTTCAGGTCAACTGGGTTTTGACGTGCAAGGATGGGGTGCTTAATTGCGTGAATGGTATCCGTGACATATTTCTAACGGAAGCTGAAAGTAGAAGGTGAAAAATATTCAATTAAAATATTGTTGACAAAAATACACTACTTACCGTCTCGTGTCATTCAGGAAATGCTTGACTTAGGCTGCAATTCGATGAATGAAATGTCAACAATGATCGTAAATTTTACGCTATGTGAAAGCAACACCGCCTCAGTGTGGCACAGGGTATCACAAAAAAAAAAAAAATAAACTAAATAAATAAAAATAAAAATAAAAAAAAAAATAAAAAAAATTCAATTGCTATATGCAAAGTAAAGTTTATTTTATAAAAAGCATGATTGTTGTATTTTATTCGGAAAACCTCAATTCGAGCTCATCCCCATTGAAAGAACGCATTAAGTGTTGTTTTCGAAACCTCGATAACTTTATTGAAACTTTGTTGAAACTAATTTTTGTATTTATGTCATTTCTTCGCTCTCTAAAAGGGCTATGGATTCGGGTTCACAAAGAATCCTGTACAATATATATATATATATATATATATATATATATATACATATATATACACTTATTTTAATGTGACTTTGTACGATAGCGCCCCCACGCAACTGATGAGCTTTGCTTCTAAATTGTTTTTGTTACATATGCTCGGCACCGAATATCGAAAGTCCCGGATATCTTTAAAATCGGTACCGTGTAGGTATGAGTAGGTACTCATATGTGTTGACTCATCACATCTCTAATGTAAGAACGTAAGTTCAATTTACGCTCTTGGTTGACAGCGCAGCCAGGGTTAGGACTCCCCTACGATCGGTAAACTGAAAATCTACTACGCAACTCGATACCGGCGAACTCCTTAGATTTGCTCGGGACAAAGCAAAGCTTATTAAATATGCATTTCCTTTTAATAAAATCATGAGTTAATCAATTTTGAAGTGCCCTCCAACTTAGGAATATCAAAATAAATCATTAAGTTGTGATACTACCAAGCACATTCATAAGCACTAGCGGTTGAACCGATTCAGCGAAGTCCCGCACCATGCGAACAAATAATGAAACGGTTTATTCTTTCGGGTGTGAGGCCAAGGTAAACACACTATAGTCATTCTCTCACCTAGTGTACGATATAAGCGAATTATTATTCAGCCACTATACACTGCAGGGCATGGAATTAGTCCTCAAAAAATAAAAAATAAAAATAACATAATAAAGTAAAATAAAAGTAGTAATAAGAAATGTAAATCATTAGCAATTGAATATGCGTATGTATATATGTATAACTTGCCACCCAGCTAAGGTTTTAAAATACACAATGAACCATAATTGTGCATACGGCGATAAAAAGGGGGTTTACCTTTACAGAATGCCTCGCTTCACGGCCACCCGCACTAAGACCGAAAAACGTGTCGATCATTTTAAGATTCCTTGTCGGTTGTGCGGTAACAACCACGGAGTACGACTCTGCCCCATATACCGAGGGAAATCCGCAGAGGAAAGGTTGCGGGCGATCTTGATACATCGGTACTGTCCCAACTGTTTGTCGCCATTCCATCGGATCGAAATCTGTGGAAGCAATGACCGATGCCACCGCTGCGACGAAAAGCACCATACCTCCCTGCATATGGAAGACTACGGCGATCCAAGGGAAACGACGGAAAATCACCCCGATAACGACGACGGCTCTGACGGAGCGATTTCGCTCTACGGTTCCGACCAAACGACGTCATGGGCGAAGCAGGTAGAGGCAGAAGAGGTGGAAAGACGGGAAGAGATAATCCCTTCACCACCAGACGGCGGCTTGAAAACCCGCAAGATTCGACCGCCGCTACAGCACGAACTTGAAGCAGACAGTCCCATGCCAGCAGTGCTCACACACACACAGCCAACGGGCGGTCAACGAAATGACGCGGAAACTAGTCCTTTTCGCTCATATCGGCGCGGAACCAATTCTGGCCACCGAGATGACGCGGAAACTCGTCCTTTTCGCTCATTTTGGCGCAAGCGTAATTGCAGCCAGCGTGATGGCGCGGAAACTCGTCCTTTTCGCTCGTCGCGTTGGCAAGCAATAAGGGCCGCACGACACCGACGTGGCGACCGTTCCTCCCTCACCATCCAACGCATTCCATCGGGTGGATTCCGGACAGGCAAGTTAAAAACAATCGCGGTTCCAGCACCAATAATGCGCTCATTCGTAGCCATCGCCCCAACCGCAATTGTACGAATCGAGTCAGGCGGCCGACTTCATCTGGTGCGGGCGTTGATTGACTCTTGCGCCCCCAGCAGTACCATCGACAGGGACCTAGCACGGGAGCTTCAGCTCGAAGTCAGCAACGCCCGCGCGAAAACATGTTCCCTCGTGCTGCGAGGAAAGTACGGGGTCGCGGAACGAGTAATTACTCAGGCCAGGCTAGTTACGCGATACAGCCGACTCAGCCCTGCGGCTAACATCGACCCAACGATAGCGACGCCGTTTCAATTTATGCGTCTGGCGGATCCACAGTTCTATCGGGCCACCCCCACTCGACTAACACTTGGCGCTGATGTATACGCCCAGGTCATGGTATGTGGCACTCCGCCAACAACGATCGGCGGTTTACTGGCGCAAGCTTCCATGTTCGGGCTGATTATATCAGGAGCTCACCAAATGTGACAAAATAGTTAAAATTTTATATTTAGTATTCATGAATACATACCGAATTTAAATAAAAGTGCAATGAAATGATCAACCACACCTTTTTTTCCTATTAGCTTTTTCTTCCATTTTTCCCCGTAGCTAGAGATTGCAAGGAGGACCGGAGAACGTGCGGACTAGATCCCCGGGCAAGGACCAATCTGAGCGGGAATTCACAAAGTTAAAGAACATAATTTACAATGTAAATAAATGTAA